CGCTAGCCAGGACTCTCTTTGAACTGCCTTCCATCACAATATGATTGTCGAGTCTCATCTATATTCATGAACTGACAATTTCGCGTACGGTCACGTCATAGGCAAAGTGGCGAGTACTTCAGTCAGGAACTTGGTTGCTTCAGATCAACTCCGAAAAGTGTGCACACACTTGTGTTGAGTAGGTATACTCTGTAAGTGTTGTGGTGGTCCTGGCACCCGGCCATCAAAGCTTGTACCTCAGTATGGAGTACGCTGGGTTCTATTCATCTTTCATTAATCCGACTCCTCACTTGAGGTCTTTGAAGTGCTGCATACCACCCACGTTCTTCTGCAGTTGAAAAACACTAGTTCTACTGCATTTCTTTACACAGCTGCAAAAGTTACCAAACTGGAAACAGCACTGCAGTCCACCGCACGACTCTTAGATGGTATAAGCAGGTGCGATTATGAAGAACACCCTCAAGGAATTGGAGTGTTTCCTGGTAAATTCTGTGGCTGGCAAGCTTTAAGCCTTTGGAGCATGTTCACAGTTGTATGGTGGATGAGCTTATTGATAACACGTTCAAGCTCCAACTTGACCTGTTTCAGAGAAGTCTGCAGAAGCACTCGCCCCAATGGATCCCGATTTAAAGTTCGGACATGATGATTATCACATAGGAAGCGATCCCTCTGTATCTACTGAAGACAACTATGATGACAATAAATAGGATCTCACTGTTGACTGAGTTGTTATTAAAATTGGAATGTCAACATCATTGCCCTCAGTGTTTCATCTTTCCTATCCCTCTGTTAAGCAAAAACTAACTTTTAAACGGAAAAAACCGTACAGCGTTGAGCAAAAGTCATGAAGAGCTGAATAGAAATGGTAATCAATGATAGAGGACTTACATAGGCTGACTGAAAACAGCGAATGACATGATTCCATGTTATATCTGTTTGTAACAAATGGGAGCCACGTAAACAGGAACAGATAGAAGAGCAACTGCCCGGACAGGTGACTGAGTCACTCTACAATGAACAGTATCGAAAAATTGTTTATACGCCTATACATTGTTACTGGAAAGCTTTGATTGTACTATCTAAGGCTTCCGGCAATTGAAACAAAATAGGGGGAAATCTATCAAATTTGCATTGCATATAACGGAAATTTTAAACAAAATCAATGGTCGGGATATGAACCGTACAAGGGAATCAGGTAGTGTTGCTTAAATCATAAAGGTCCCTATCATAAAGACAAAAATGTCCGATTTACCCACACCCTACTACTACTATAAATCCACAAGACGATACTGGGAGGAGGAGAGTTACCCATTACGACGGTAATTGAGAGAATTCTTACGAGAACGTAGGATAGTTAATGAAACGGCCCGACAATAGATACGCATTTTCTGTCGTCAGTTAACCCAATCACGAATTTCGGGGGAATCCAAATAACAGCTTCTTCGTGAGAGTAGTAAATCATAACACTGCTACCGCTTGACGTCATCTTGCCTCTCTGGTTAATCGAAATACCTGTCCCAAAATTTGATGGTACAGTTGTCCATTTAATAAAAAATAAAATCAAGAATTACGTGTTCGCTGAAAGGTGGGTTGTGTATACAATTACACGACAGACACAGAGCACAGTAAAAGGATACTGGCCAAAATCCCGAGAGACATTTTGCATATTGGAGTTAGAAGACTAATCATATTATATCGAATATTGGAAGTGTATAAGTCAAGTCAAGTTATTCTTTATACATCCAAAGGATGAATAATTTTCAGCAATTTGCGAAACTGTACAGTGGATATATTAGACAAATGGTGATCAACAAAAAATAATATAAGAAATTCTATAATGTATAAAGTAAACAAGAGAAAAATTAGTACAAGAGATTTTCCCTTGTGCTGGTTAGCAATTGTCTTACGAGTAACCAACCAACAACCAAGAAAAGTAAGGAATTAAACTCTTTCTATATGTGAAATTACGCGCAGATAGGAGTTGGTTTTTGGAGCGAAACGGCGTTCACGATTTCTCGGTGCACACAGTACCCTTGATCATGTGGTATCCTGTCACTAAAGGTATCACTAGCGTCAAAATGCCTGAAAATAAAATACTCAACCAGAGCAATTCTACCAAATCCACTATAATCGGAAAAAAGTTTAGGTTAACTACAAAAGAAAGTGAAATATTTTTCTCCCAGATCAGGGATAGATATTGGGAAGCAGTATAACGAGTGTTGAAGGATGCAGGCAATCGCGAATTAAAGAATACGGTTTTATTGGATGGACAGTTTCCTGAGCTTGTAAAAAGACAGTTTTCGGACTTTTTAAAAAACGCTGATGACATGATCAGATCAGGACAGGTAATGGGAGAAGATGATATCAAGTTATTTACCAGAAACAGATTTTGGGACTCTTTGATTATGATTTGGGAGATTATTTTCCAATGAAGGATAACGGGGGCCTGTTTTAATATTAAATGGAACGTCAATGCACTTATCGATATTAAGTAAAGCGGATCGGGGCACAGACCAATCGTGTTTAAAATCGGGGTGTCTATTACAGTTATTTTTACTACCATAAGATCAGTTATTTTTATTGGGCTAGCTTGTGGAAGTGCGGCCAAACTATTTCCCAGGTTGGATTCATCTCATTCCGTGGTTTGAAATTACCGAAGCAGATCTATGCTGATCGATTATTTACTGATCTCGTTCAAGGAGGGAAAACTGATTCTTTATGTGGTATCCCCATGAGATTCGTGCGGTAGAAAATCCTTGGAAGTACCACCGAACAAACAATTTGATGTTTTCCAATGAATGAATTAATGTGGGTAATCATTACGCTCCGAGTTTGTGTCACTCAAAGCCGGGGTTGCACGAAGTCGATTGCCACACGCAACACAGTTGAATACCGATTGGTCCTGACTCAGACTTCTGAAAGGACCCACAGAACTGTTACTGAACCTACCTCTGATATAGAATAATGTTGTTAATCACCTTTTCTCGGGACGTTTTTCTTTTTTTATACAGATTATTGCACCATGATTTGTTTCGCACACAGTCAGGCGTCAGACGTGTGTGAAGTATATCATAATACTATGAACTTGGTAGAATAGAAAGCGAAGTGCGTGGAATTCATCTACAGGCTAGAGATTACCTGGCGAGTCAGACCTTGTTTGTCGGAGATTGCTTGACAAGCAGATTTTGCAAACAGTTGAACACTGTTCAAATGCAAACCAACACAAACATGCCAAGCTTGATCGTATTGTTTATCGGTTAGTAATTGCAGAATCCAGTCTTCCAGCATTATGCTGTAGGGAGAAAAGCGAATAGTACGGTACAGACAAATAAGGGATTCAACAGGAAAAATAAGTGTAACAGTGGCATGAGTGTAATCATTGATCAGCTCGACGAAGTTTCATTTCTCAATATTAAGTACCGGTGGACTCGGGAAGTGGGCTAAATGTGCGATGTACTGCGTGTCACTTACGTAACGTATTTATCTTCATGTGTACCTCACTTGATCAGTTTAATCATGCTGGTTAAGTCATCCGCGTATGTGCGATTGGTTGATTAATCATTTGTACCAACAGAGTAAAAAAATTAATCAATCAACAAGTCCACTTGATGTGCATGCACTAGCAGACTGTACGGACATGTTCTGTTAGGTGGTTGTGAACGAATAGGGTGGCTTGAAACCTATCATTAACCGGAACGAACAAGACGATCTGATTTTTATAGTTTAATCCCACAAATTGGCCACCTCAAACTCCGGATCTCATTTTTCTACATTTTCTCGTCTAGAGAGATCATAAATAGTGTTAGCACAGGAGGATCAATGATTCTGGAAGGAATTAGTTCAGTCAAATTATTAGAATATAACAGCACAAAAAAGGTCAACTAATTCGAGTTCTATCTTCATTTGTGAAAAGAATTATCCG